CAACATCCACTTCCTCTAATTTAGTTTCTTGAATAAATAGGAAATCTGGCCTCTCCTTTCTAACTAACTTGGCAATCTCCTTTCTCTTTAACATATTACCCAAACCTCTAACATTAAACGAAATTACTTTCATAAAGAAAAACTATACCTCACAAACCTCCATTCTGCCAACTCCCAAGATTCAAGCCCCCTTGGAATTAACCCCGTCCCTCTCCTCCAAAGCTGCCAGCCGAGAAATCACCTCTTCCTCGTTTTGTTGACATTGAATCCCCAACCTTTGCCCCAACTCAAATAGTTCCCTCACCTCCTTTGTCTCCAATTGACGCCGAATAATCCCATTTCTGTGCTGAATGCATCCGTCCGTCACAAAGCAACTTTCCTGCTGCAGATTCAGCCTCTCCTCTTCTGTCGTTGCTGTCATCCTCCTATCCCTTCTACTCTTTGTTCGGGCTGTAATCCAACTCGTGCCCCTTCTCATCGTTTCATCCGCTCCAGCCACCCCTGCATAAATCTCCCTCAGGGTCCTGCGTTTTTTCCCCTTCAACGCCATCTGTTGCAGCTGTGTAGAAGATTCTTGGGATTTAAAGATGGACCCAATGGACCCACAACTAGGCTGTGCTTCCTCCAACCCAATTCCATTTTCAACAACTCCCGGCCCAACATGGTTCCCCTTATCCAGCCCAATTTCGTTTAGCCCATTTAGGCCAACAAACCCAGCCGCTTCTTCTCCTTGCGACTCTGCTTGTCTACTTAACTCTTTATATAAAACCAAATCCGTTACAGCATGATCTTCGGCCGACTCACCACCATCTCCGCACAGAAAGTCGTTTCCATTGAAGTTCAAATTCAAATCACTGTAACCGTCATTACCGTCTTCATCGTTGCTGCTGGAATATTCCGAACTGGGTTGAGTGGCCGGATTTCGACGTTCTCCGGCCAACCACCAGTCCGGATCCATCCTCCACTCCTCCTCTGACACTGCTATTGGGAAATCCTCGCCATCAACTCGCAAACAAATGGTTGTTGATATTTTCCTCTTTTCTGCACTCAAAATCAACACCCTTCCTTCGCATAAAAACGATTTACTCCTAGTATCCTCATCAACAAGAATCACCTCTCCAATTATGTTCCCTAATTCTGTGAAGCATCTCTCGCTCCATGCCTTCAACGGAACACCATTGAGCCGAAGCCATACCAATCTACACAATGAAGAAACTGTGGATAAAGAACATGGCTTAATCCATTCAAACCACAATTCCACCAATTCTCTATTTCGGTTGAGAAACTCCTCCAGGCCACCTTCCGAGTTATCCACTAAAATGACTTGACGACCCCCAAGCATAGCAACATTCACCTTTATTCCCTCCACATCCAAGCTGTTTTGGATTCTCTTCACCATATCCAAAGAACGAACCTCAGCCACCATACTACGTTTCAGCCATGCCACTTCCTCATCTTTAGGAATAAAATTTAAAACCGCTTCGTTTCTGGCCCAGTAACCTTCTCAGGTGATGACTTCGGCATCACCTTCAATTCCCTTAACCTTAAACCCTCCTCCCCCGCGTCCTCCATAGCCTCCTTTCCTTTCTTTGCAACAACCTACTTGACCCCATTAGTGGAGGACTTCCCTTCCTCTAGTGCACCCATATTTCCAGCAACGACCTGAGCATAAGTTTTCCCTGGAGTCACCTTACTGTCTCTTCTAATCCATTGCTTCTCCAAACTCTTTTGCTGTCCCAACAATGTCCCCTCCCTTCCCCTTTTCATATTCTCAGCGAGCTTCACCTTGAGATGATAAGAGTCTATCTTAATCTGGTTCAATTTCCTTTCCATCTCCTTAACATTTGAGACATTCAACATACGAACAAAACCAAACCAACGACCTCTCCGATCCCGTCTTGCTGGAATATACACATCTGCCACCTTCCCAAATGACCAAAAACAATACCACAAATCCTTTGCTGAATGATCCACTGGAAAATCGTAGAAGAAATACGAAGTTGCCTGCCCCAGATACTGCTTGCCATACCGTGGAAGCTGCCGCCTGATTCCACTACCACTGTCCTTGGCTGTCGGAAACCTTGCCCTAACCCTAGCACTGTCTCTCTCTAACCCTCTCATTCTCACTCGAAGAACTTAGATTTTCATGAGATAACACAACGGCATTTTAAAGTTAGTAGTACCAAAATGAAGGTTGGGGCTAAAATGTCTATTTACAAGAATGTTGGGACCAAGAAGTTGTTTAACACAAAAAAATAAGGGTCGGTGGTTGGCTCAAAGTCAAAGGTCGGAGGGTTCCCAAAATATCACTTAAACCCTAACCGTAGGTTTTTTCGCTCAAGTCAATTCTACTACATGGAATTAGATTTGTTGATGATATCGCAAAGATGACTGAGGCATGGTTCGTCCTCGAACTCATCGCCAATGGCACCAAGCTCAAAGAGACATTTTAAAGCATTCGAAATTTAGAGGATTTCCATTTGTTTGATTCAAGTTGCGCTCTGGTCCGTCATTATTTGTGCGTCGTTGGCAAAAGAGGCCACATCATGTACACTCATAACTTTCTTTTTAGTCAAGTTCACGTTCTAAACACTAAAGATCTAGAAAAAGGGTTAGGTCGTAAGTGAATTAACCGTACCATTTATTTGCATCAAGCCAACTGTGGCTGCCGTTGATGATGCTATCTTCGTCTTTTATCCCTCTAGCCAAGGCAAGTGTCCATGGTGTGGTCTCTTCTATCAATGACACACAAATCAAGGAAAAGGGTAAGGAAATCTCTAAACCCCTAATTGTGTTTCCTTTAGGTGCTTCCTCAAGGTCAAGATAATTACCAATCAACAAAGATAAATCAGAGTCACAATCAACAAACATATCTTCTAAAAGCTACGAAAAATTAAAAGAAAGGGCGAAGACACTAACAACAGCAGACAATTAATTAAATTATAAGAGATCAAATCATGCTTCTCCTCTTAATAAGTAGAGGATCCTTCGAAACATCTACCTTGATCAAATAAAGGGTTGTTTGGTTGTTTTCAAGTAGGTTAAAGAAAAATGGTTTGCTGTCAATTATGGAACCAAGTTGTTCATGGATAGAGAAAGGGACCCATCAGAATTTTTGTCATCACAAAAAGAAAGATAAAATTTTCCATCGAAAACCGTAATTAAAGGACTGAAAACCCCAAACTTTTTGTCTAGAAGTTCAAATTCACAAACACATCTAGAAATAACCTCTATTCATATTATATCTATAATTTTAAGGAAACAAACTTTAATTCATTTCTACCATGGCCCCAATAAAAAGAAGGATAATCCGCTGAAATAAAATGCAAAAAAAAAAAAAATATAGTCTTGTACTGAAAAACACTTTTCTTATTAAAAAAAATAGTGGCATTTTAAAGTTAATAGTACCAAAATGAAGGTCGGGGCTAAAATGTCTATTTACAAGAATGTTGGGACCAAGAAGTTGTTTAACATAGAAAAATAAGGGTAGGTGGCTGGGTCAAAGTCAAAGGTTGGAGGGTTCCCAAAATATCCTTTAAACCCTAACCCTAGGGTTAATTAAAGAAAATAAAATTATTTTATTTACTCAAATTATTTAATTTCAATTATTTAAATAAAATAAAATTTTTTGATAATTAATTTATAATCTACTAATAATTTAAATAATTTAATAATGAATTTTTTATTATTAAAAGAAATTTTAAATTTGAGGCAAATAGCTTGCATGAAATTATGGTATCTAGAAACATTACTAGGACGAAGTTGCATTTTGGATCTAGTTTGAGTGGAACCTACTGACATTTTCTGCGTCAACTTTTATTGATTTTCTTTATCTAATGAATCTACTAAGAAATGCTGTTTTCACTTTTCATTTCTTGTTGAAATGCTTCATGATCTATTTTCAGAAATAATGTAAAAATAATGTCAGTAGCTATAGCTGGGGATTAAGAAGGGTACCTTCCCAATGCGCAAAGCTGAAAGTAGGTGGAGACATTTGCGGGAAATTAACAACAGAGATGGATGGGTAACAGAAGAAGAGGATAATGCAAAGAGGCTAATGTGCTTTGTACAATATTAGTAATAAATAGACTTCAAAATTTTTACATAAATTTAAAAAATTTATAGAATATAATAGATATTTATATATTTAAATTTATATAAAAATATAATAATTTAATAAATAAAGATATATTTGATATAACTCAAAAAAGCATATTGAATAAATTAAAAAATTTAGTTGTCACGTAACTAGTAAAGATATTGAAAGTAGGTTAATACAAATTTTCTATTAATTAATTATGAGGAAATCAAATACCTTAAAATTAAGTTGTTATATCACTTAAAGTTAATTTAGTTTTTTTCTAATTAGTTTAGTTAATTAATTCACTCAAATTATTTAATTTTAATGGTTCAAATAAAGTAAAATTTTTTTGATACTTAATTAATCTATAATTTGTCAATAATTTAAATAATTTAGTAGTAATCTTTTTCTGTTAAAAATAAAAAATTTTAAATTCGAATAATATAACATGCGAATAAGATGAATTAAATGATAAAAAGTAATTACCTCTTGTTATACAATCTAAAAAAAAATTAATTTACCATTTTGTAAAAAATAATACTTAATTTTTATTATTATATTATTTAAAATAACTAATTCTGTTATTAAAATAGAATTAACTTATAAATGATGCCAACTTACATCACTATGATACCATTTGCTAGAAAAGATGAAACTGGCAAAATAATAATTCCAAAATATGGGCGAAAAAAAACCTTCTTTAAATTTTATAACTCTATTTAAAAAAAAGTCTAGTATTTGAAATTTGAGTTAAAATTACGTTTAAACTAAACAGATGTGAGAATAAGAAAAGCAAAGGTTCATTGTAGTTTTAGAAATTTGAGTTAAAATTACGTTTAAACTAAACCAATCGCAGGTGATTTTTTGAAGCTTTAAATCGAATTTTCATCTTTTGGTTTTGATTCCGAGGATTCGATTCGTTTTGCCTATTCATGTTTGGTTTAGAAACTCATTTCTAGAATTTTTCGCATTTTGTAGAATTCACAACTTAAATTTTAATCATAAGAACATATAGAATCTTGCAACTGCCTTCGATTTCCATGGTTCCCTGCGCTTACTTCAACAACAAACTAACCTCAAAATATAGACCTGTATACAAGATCTGAAAGATGCATTGCACATACTTCAACAACAAACTAACCTCAAAATATTCAATAACCTCAGTTGAATGTTGTCCCACTGGTCCAAAATATATTACACTACCACCATTTTTCAAAAGAATCAACTACAATGAATGGAAAAGATGTCAGTTATGCTAAATAGCACTACATCAAAAACTTTTAAATGGAACTTTGGAGACTAGTGTTTGACATTCTTGTCACTCAATTGTTCAAGAACTACTTTTCCTGTCCATATTTGCGAAAGACTTGGAAAATTAAGCATTTGACGAATTTCCTATGCATGGATGAACCTTCAATAGATTAATTAAGGTAAGTTCTCCAAAAGTTACACAAAAGAAGAAACTCTCACTATCAAAAATTCAGTGCATATTACCACCAGTGAATCCTGTCATTTCCTCTTTTGACTGACAATCTGGGTAAAGAAAGAGATGTGTCACCTCATCAAAGGCTTCAAATGTATCTATACTTGGCTGGTGAATTGTGCACACGATTGTTCTTCCTGTATCAACTACATTCTTTACTGCTCGCATGACAATTGCTGCCGCTCGTGCATCCAAGCCAGTAGTAGGTTCATCCATAAAGATTGTTGAAGGGTTGGCAACAAGCTCCACAGCTATTGTAAGACGCTTGCGTTGCTCAGTTGATAGACCACTAACCCCAGGGATGCCAACCAATGCATCCTTAATTTCATCAAGTTCAATGGTCTCAAGGACTTCATTCACGAATTCCTGTCATAAATGCGACTGGAAATCAGTTAAAGAGAATCTCAGCAATATTTAATAATGACAATAAAACATGACTTGTCTTACATCTTTTGTTTTTGATTCAATTTCATGGGCCAAACGCAACCAAGCAGAGAAAATCAAAGATTCTTCCACAGTGAGTTGAGGGGAATGTATGTCAGTTTGCTCACGGTAACCAGAAATCCTAACAAAAGTTTCTTGAACCTTAGGGTAGCCTCCAATTTTTATTTCCCCTTCAATATACCCACTAGTTTTTCTCCCTGCAAGAACATCCAGAAGAGTTGTTTTCCCTGCTCCACTAATGCCCATCAGTGCTGTAAGAACTCCAGGTCTGAGGGCACCTGAAATATCTGAAAGAAGTTGGAGTTTTTCCTGATCAAACCCCCATTCTCTCATTTCCTGATATCAAGAGGAAACAATCAGACAAAGGTAGGGATAAGCATTATGCATCAAATGGCTCTAAAATATCTTGCATTGAGATGAACCATTGGATGAGAGACATGGTTGATTACCAAAGGCACATCGACATAATACTGCAGATTCTGAAATACTACTGTTAAGGGTTCAAAAGGTAAAACCATCCTGCCTGCAGATTGAGACAAGGGGCCATAAGGGTGAAAATTAAAGAGCAAAGACATATAGTTTATGTTGTACAATTTGGAAGAATAAAGTGTGAAAGAACCTGAACCAACCTCTCCTTGATTCTTTCAAATTAGGGTGAGAGTTCATATCCTTTTCCTCCATAGTTGCAAAATTAGATAAATCTTCTCTCCCTTGCATACGGGAAAGCTTTTCTTGTGAAACAATGGCACGAGAAGCTCTTGGAGCTGCACATGTAATCAATTAAGTGAACAAACTAGTTAAACTACTACCCCTCTAACCCCAAGTCAAGTAAAAGAAGAAAGAAACAGTTACCTTTCAAAAAACTTAAGGCTAAGGTAAAGCCAATATTAAAAACTAATGCAAACCCAAACAAAGCACCAGGTAATCTCCAGAAAAGATTTCCATCAAAATTTAGTCCACGGCTTTCCAGTATCACTTTCCCCATTGTAGTATTTGTTATGAGGATCTACAAGCAAGAAAAAGGCAGATTCAGGACTAAAGCAAGATTTTTATGCTCTGAATTTCTAATGTAAAGTTAAGGGCATGGGGGGCTACATTCAACAGATGATAAGTGGATATTGTCATGCAAAAATAGGTACTTTAACAGTTTAGAGTCTATTTTTATAATTGGAGAACTTGATGGAAAAACAAAATTATGTAACCTGCATTAGTATTAAATAGTTTCCTGATAACTCGACATCAGAGGATAAAGAATGGAAAGGAACAAACATATATTACATGTACCATGAGGGTTGCTTTACTAATCAAAATTAAGTTAAAAAATACATATATACAAATAGCTGGTAACACAAATACAAGACAAAACCAGAGTCCATTATATCATCAAAATGTATCACTTTGCAAATGATGGATAGAGATATCATGATATATAATTCTTCAAAATATATCACTTTTTGCTTCTCCTAAAAGTTAACACAACCATAGAGAAACAGGTAGCATAATGAAATTTTAGACAGGTTATTTGGTTACTCACAGAATATGTAGCTTGACATGGTCAGATTACAAGATTGTTTAATTCAGCAATGGTGATATCCGTTTTCCCGTTCCAGCTAGCAGAAAAATCTAATCTGAATCAAAATTCAATTCTTGTTTCAAAACTCTCCCCAATTCTTCAAAATGGAAAACACGAGGTTCTGCAGTAATGAATTCAAAATTCGAATGGGTTGGCTTGCCTAAGAACCTCATTTTGCAACTTGCAAGCTCATTCGTGCAACCACTCATCCCCTTTCAAATAATCTGAAAAGCATGAGCCATTTTTGAGGCAATTGAATGCATGTTTTCAGAGCAAAATAAATAGAATACAATGTTTTGGACAATTTACATGGGAGTTTACTTCATAATCCATAAGAATAAAAGTATAAATAAAAATAAATCCAAGGAATGAATGAAGTACTAGTAACATTGAGGAGTTGTTTGGCTTTATTTACCTCATCAACAATTAATTGTAGCTAGCTCGCTCATCCAGTCATTCTGCACAAAAAGGATTTGCAACGCATATATATAAGAAAAGGCAGCACAAGTTAAAGAAAAGTGTTATCTGTTATAAATTTTCTAAATTCTCATATGAAAAGCATAAAATGGTGATGCCTATTTCAGTTCACTTTAAGCTCTTATTACTTATTACCTCATCCTCACATATCCTAATGCAGGGGATGCTCCAAGTGAGAGTCCAACAGTCTCCTTTCGCCTCAAAGCGCTGTCGTTTTAGATGTGGACACCTGTTGATGTATAGTAGTCCAAGCGAAGGAGGGAAGGCTTCCCCTGGCAAAGATTGGAGATTCTGGCAGTCAGTGATCCATAAGTGTTTAAGGGAGCTTAGGTTTTGGAAGAGCCAACTAGGTATGGATTCCAAATTTTCTTCATTCTTTATCTCAAGAGAGATTAAAGAACAAGGCAGCACAATATCCAGAGGTAATTTTTGCTCAATTGTCAAGCATAGAAGAGACGTAAGATTTTGGAGGCCCATTGTCAAAGCCCCACCTGGGATTCTTAGTCTCTGAAGCGATGTGAGCTGGAACATTGTATTCGGCAGACGCTTGAGATTCTTACACTCCTCTAATTGAAGCTTTGTTAAGTTTGGGGGTAAACCTCCATCTAGAATGAACTCGATGGCGGGGCAAAGTAACATTGTTAGTCTTCGAAAAGATTTCAGCTGATACATTGTATTTGGGAGGGATTTGAAATTCTTACACCATCGTATTTCCAAAATCTTCAGATTGGGGGTGCATAACCCCAACTCTTCTGGTAAGGACTCTAAGGTTTTACAACTGTAAATATATAATTTAACTAGACTGCTGATGCAATTAAGGCTGGGTAAACTTTTCAATATTTTACAGCATTCAATTTCAATGGATTGGATTCTCCTACAATGTTGCAGCATCCTCTCTGGAAATGATTCTAACCACTCGCCACCATCACAAATCCTAGATTTCTTGAGAAAAGCTGGTACTTGAAGACAACTACCTTGAGAAGAATGCGAAGATGGAATATTCATTATTTCCAAATGTAGATTGCTACTATTATAGTCACCATCAACATCCGGTAGAGACTCAAGACCTTCACACTTTTCTATTATCAAGTATTTAAGCGAGGTGGGTAATTTGCCCCTTGGAAACGACTTGAGAGAATCACAATCACAAATTTCCAACCTTTCTAGTCTCGACATCAACATACTAGTGTTGCTGCTACTACTTCCATCCATCCTCATCATCATTGCATCGGGTAATGACTCCAAAGCTTCACAGTACCTAAGGCTAAGATGTTTAAGATTGAAAGGCAAGAGGCTTTGTTCTATTTCTGTCCCATCCTCCCACAAACAAGTAAGATCATTGCAATATGTAATATCCAAAGTCTCAAGTGCTGTCAAAGACTGTGTAAAACTCTCAGGCAAGCAAGTCAATTCTGAAATTTGCTCAATTTCCAAGTTAGTGAGGGAAGTGAGATCAACCATGCTCTTCAAAAGCACCCCGTTGCAGTCTCTAATAGACAACTCTTTCAATGATGGAAGACTCATGCTCATAGGCAAGCAAGTCAGTTCTGAAATTTGCTCAATTCTCAAATAAGTAAGAGAGGGGACATCTCCCATACTCTTCAAAAGCTTCCCATTGCATCTTCTAACATCTAACTCTTTAAGTGAAGAAAGGTTGCTGGGTAATTGTCCTAACAACTTAGGACAATTTTCAATCACAAGCTTATGAAGACAAGGGAATTCACCTGCACTTTTGGTTGGAGAAGTCCATTCCTTCCAATTTGGCATTCTTCTAAACACCAGTTCAGCCAGTGATGGAAAAGAGCCATGCTGCCCATAAAACTCAAAACTTATAGCTTCTATTGAATCCATGCCTTCAATAATCAATTCTTTTAGAACAGGTAGTAGGCCAATTGATGGTAACAAAGTGCATCTCTCACAACGGCTGAGCTTCATGGATGATAAATTGAAAAATAATGATGGATCACAAACCCAGGGAGGGAAATTCTCACCACCATAGCAAGAAATTTTGAGACTTTTCAAATTTGAATGAGGATTTAACCAGCTGAGGACCTGCATTTCAAGGATTGATTCATCTCGATCATTATCAAGAGCAAGCCACTCCAAGTCTAACTCTTCCAAACCATGGATCTTGTCTAGGTTGGCCTCCCTAGCTTCTTGAACATCCAAAACATTCTGCAAATCTAGAATAGATAGTCTTCCTCGAAGTTGTGACAAGTTCTTCAAATCTGATAATCTTGTCATCATTCCAATTGCCTTCCCCACAATAAATTTGGACAATGTTACAAGATTTTTAAGATTGCCTATTCCTGATGGCATCTCTTTTAAAGAATATGTATCAGTGATATCAAGATGATGGAGATCAATTAGATTCCCAATTGTTATAGGCAACTTACTAAGCTTGAAACAACCACATAATAGCAGTGTTTGTAAGAAAAGAAGAGAACCCACTGATTCAGGTATACATTTGATACTTGTACAAGAAAAATCAATGTACCGAATATGTTTCAAATTTTGAAAAGATTCTGGTAGCTCGCTTATCTGATAATGGTGAAGAGATAGCACTCTTAAGCGATTTAATGTTGGTAGGAACTCATGCAAGATTCTTTTAGACAAATAGAACTGAATGTGCTTGTTGAGTGCTTTTAGTGGCAAGAATGTTCTCAAATGCTTCAATTTATCCAAGACTGTGAATCTCTCTAAGATTTCATACTTGTGTGGAGTGAATGACAAATGACGAGCTTTCTCTAATTTTTCATCACCCATGCTACGTTCAAGATTGCAATATATTTTTCCAGCAACATCTAGAGCTAAATCATTTATAAGGTCATGCATCACAAACCGTGATTCATCTCCACTTGACCGTTGAAAGAGTGATCTTAAGAACAACTCATCAAAATATTGATGACCAATGTCCTCTTCCATTTGCTTCTTTTCATGTGACTGTTGCTGTAATAGGCCCTCAGCCATCCATAACAGAACCAACTCCATTTTGTCAAATTCATAGTCTTTCGGGAACAAAGCACAATAAGCAAAGCATCGCTTCAAGTGAGAAGGAAGATGATTGTAGCTCAATCTCAAAGCAGGAAGAATTTCACTTCTATCTTCAGATGAACTCCATATGTCACTATTTAATACATTTTCCCACTCATCACGATGCAGCTTTCCCCGCAAGACACCACCAACTGTTTTTAGTGCTAATGGCAATCTTTTACACCTCTTAATAAGCTTCTCACCTACATCTTGTAGGTATGGGTGTGCATCAAAGTTCTCTTTCCCAAGTGCATGTTGTGTAAATAAAGGCAAACAAGCAGCATCTTGTAGCAATTCTAAATTGTAAACTCTATCATCTCCTCTCATGATCATCCCAACATTCTTATTTCGAGTTGTGACAATTATTTTACTTCCAAGAGCTCCTGACATGAAAGGTCTCTTCAAGACATCCCATGGGCCATATTTCTCATTCCAAACATCATCCAACACAAGCAAAAACCTGCACCCAGATAACTTCTCTTTTAATTTCTCTTGAAGCAAACCAAAATCATAGTCACACCTTTCCCCAGTTAAATGTTCTAAAATGGTTCTTGTTATTTGAGCAACATCAAACTCATTAGAGACACAAACCCATGCCTTCAAGTCAAACCTGCCTTCTAGGTTTTTATCATTGTAGATGTGCCGAGAAAGAGTTGTCTTGCCTAGTCCACCCATTCCGACAATGGGAATAACAAAGTCTTGTTCGGGATTACCTCCATCTTTTAGCAACCTCTGAAGAATAGCATCTTTGTCACCATCTCGACCTATCACCTTATCTTCAAGAAGAGAAGACTCAGGTAGTCTTTCTGCAGCTACTTTGCAAGACTTATCTTCTGCTTTCATAGTCAGATTGATGAGGCCAAAAGTATGCATCTCCTTTTCAAAATGTTGTAATCTAACATTCAGATGATTCACCATGGAATTGATCTCTTGATTAGGCTTGGCCTTAAATCTAAATAAATTCTTGAGACTAGATTTGACTTTTTGCCCCTTGTTAATGCTGGCTTTAGATTTTGTAATCAACTTGAACCTCTTGGCATCAATCACAAACTCTTCAAGTAAGTCCTCCATATCATAAGCCAAGTTCCTTAGATCATCAAGACATGACTTCACGAACTGGTTGGCAACTTGATTTTCTTCTGCATGTTGAATTACAATAATGATTTTGGGCAAAAGAGTCTTCCAACTCTCCATTTGAGCACGTACTTCCTCTTTTGAATTCCGTAGTTGATCAGTTAGATATCCATTCAATTTTTTGAGTAGCAAGTCAAATGTAGCAGATAAAAGAGAACCTCCAACAAAAGATAAGACCTCCATTGGATAAATAGCTTTTCTATAAAAGAGAGAGAAGCATGTTGAAGCACAAATTAGACTAATCTATTGAATACCTCACATTCATTGGACTATCATCAAATTAGTATTCTATCCTAATGGATTGATTTAATTAGTTTCAATTTAAGTAGTTTCACATGTTGGTATTGCCGTGGTATTGAAAATAGAAAAGATGATATAAAGAAAACAATCAAAATATATATCATAGGGTTTGATTTAGATTTTCAAAGAATTGAAGAAGTAAAGATATTAATTAAAGAGTGCTAGTATATATATACATGTTGTTAGGTTCTCTTTGTATTTTGATGATGTTTTAAAACCATGATTCAAAAGTATTTAATCTATTTTTGTGTTAAGTGTGCAGGAAAATTAATCCAAGGTTTCTAATCTTTCCCCACGATTAGAATTAATTCATGTTCCTCCTTGTTCAGAGTTCTGGGTTCGAACCAATTTATTTTGGTTCGAATCAATCTCGGACTTTTGTTTTCCGAAAATGGTTCGAAGCAATATTTCTAGCTTCGAACCAAAAATTCTGGAAAGTTAATTTTGACAGTTCAACTATCTGTTTACTCTTAATGGGTCATAGGGGATCTAAATGCCTTAGCACTTTCCAAGACGAGTTAGAAAATAAGGTGGAACCTTATTGGAGCTTTTGTGAGGTGGCTTTGAAGGGACTTTAATTGCAAGGCTCCAAATCTCTATTAAAATGACCAAAAATCAGATCTGGAAAAAATACAAAAAAAAGAAGGACGACTGCTGCAGAAAATATAGTTCGATATTGTTCTGGGTTTCCTTCTTCTTTTCTTCTTGTGAGGCTTTTGGGTATATTGTCTTACAAGGGTTTTGTATTCTTCTTGGATTGGGTTAATCCTTGAAGGGGTTGAGTGAGTTGAGATTCACTTGTAACGGTTTAA